GTCAAGTGCTTTAGCCACTATGCTACCAGAGAGCTCCTGCCCTTAGTATTAAAAAAAAACCCAAACTCATTGTTGAGTCAATTCCAACTCATAGTGACCCCAACTGAAAGAGTTGAACTGCCCCTCAGGGTTTCTAAGGCTGTGTTGTAATCTTTGCAGAAGCAGACTACCACATTATTTTCCTGCTGAGCATCTGGTAGATTCAAACCACTGACCTTTTGTTAGTAGCCAATGCTTTAACCATTGCACAACCGGAGCTCCTTGTGCCCTCAGTAACCACTGTTAAACTCTGATCTGTATATATTTACCTATACAGCCAGAATGCTCCTTAAAAGGAAATTGGTGAGAGTTTGTCTCATGTGCTTTGGACATGTTTTCAGGAGGAACCACTTCCTAGAGAAGGACATCATGCTTGGTGTAGAGGGTCCATGAAAAGGAGGAAGACCCTCAAGGAGATGCATTGACACAGTGGCTGTGACAGTGGGCTCAAGCAGGGCAGTGATTGTGAGGATGGCATGGGACTAGACAGTGTTTCAACCGGTTGTACACAGGGTCACTATGAATTGGAACCAATTCAATGACACTTAACAATAACAAGACATTTCATATTAATGAGGTCACACAATACTTGTCTTTTTGTGATTGACTTACTTCACTCAGCATAATTTTTTTTAAGGTTCATCCATATTGCAACATTTCAACTCTTAGGTATATACCCAAGAGACTTGGAAGCAGTAGTGCAAACAGACACATGTAAACCAGTGTTCATTGCAGCACTATTTACAATAGCCCCAAAATAGAAACAGCACAAGTATCCATTAACAGATGAATAGATAAACAAAATGTAATTTATGCGTACAATGGAGTATTCTGACTCATAGTGACCCCCATTAGGTTTCCGAGGTGGTAAATCTTCATGGAAACTGATCACCTCATCGTTCCATGGAGTGGCTGGTGGGTTAGAACCTCCAACCTTCTGGTTAGCAATCAAATGCCTTAGGCACTGCACCACCATAGCTCCTAAATGGAATGTTGCTCAGCCATAAAGAGAAATGATGTCCTGGTACCTGCTACAACATGAATTTTTCATTTCAAGCAAGTGTATATATATACTAATAATCTTCCTATCAAATGACACTTGGCCAAAAGAAAAAAAAAAAAAGGAATTTTATTAGATAAGTTTTAATCAGTGTCAATTTAGAAGAGATAAAAATGAAACCAGTTAACACATCCCTAATTGCAGGTTGTGTGGAGTTTTTGTCTCAAGAATAGCACTGATTCTTTATTAAGTGAAGGGGAGGGCTTGCAAATCTTTTCTACTCTACATCTTGCCTCAGTTCATCGATCCCCAAGCTATTATGTCTCAGAGATCATGTTGCTTCTGTGCAACTGTAGTGAAGACCCCCCATGGTCAGGTACAAATATCAGGTTCAGAATGAGGCATATATCTGACGCTCAACATCCATGTGTTGGCTGTGTGGGGGCAAATCCTGGCTACATTCTCATTTTGGAAACTGAAAACAAACAAAAAACAACCTGTTGCCTTTGAGTTGACTCTGACTCATGGGGTCCTATGCATGTCAGAGTAGAGCAGTGCTCCATAGGGTTTTCAACGGCTGGTGTTTGGGAAGTAGATTGCCAGGCCTTTCTTCCAAGGCACCTCTGTGTGGACTTGAACTTCCAACTCTGGTCAGCAGCTGAGCACTTAACTGTTTGCACCACCCAGGGGCTCCTTTGGAGACTATGGTGGGGAATAGTTTCACTAATAATTACTGAGCATCTGCTAAGTATCAAGCTGTTGTTGTTGTTGTTGTTATGTGCCATCGAGTCAGCCCCGACTCATAGCGACCCCTCCTTGGGTTTCCAAGGCAGTATCACTACAGAAGTAGATTGCCCCATCTTCCTTCCGAGAAGTGGCTGGTGGGTTCGAACCGCCAGCCTTCTGGTTAGCAGTCAAGTGCCTTAGCCATTATGCTACCAGAGCTCCCCCTACCTTTGCTTTAATATGGTTTATTTAATTGTGATTTTTATATGACTTAATTTTTACTAATGGCTATTTTTAAAAATCAGGTGACAAATTTCCTGAAAATTTAACAATCAGCAATCATTAGCTGATATGAGCTGGCTCCAGCAATCTGTTGGTAAACCTAAACAATGTAGTAGGAGGGAAAGTAGAAATCAAGAAAAGAGAAAATGGACAAATTATAGAGATGATTAACAAAACTGAAATTTGGTTATTTGGAAAGGTTAATACAGTAGTCCAATCTTTGGCAAGATCAATGGGGAAAAAAGGGAAGATACAAATAAATATTAGGAATGTAAAATGGGACAAATGTACACATATAGAGACTTTTAAGCACTAGAGAATACTATGAACTTATGACAATGATTTATTTCAATTATTTGAAGGAATGGCTAATTTCTAGAAAAAATATATTTTAACAAAATTTGACTCAAGAAGAAATAGAAAATATGAATATCCTAATAACCTAAGGCATTCGACTCCTAACCAGAAGGCTGGCAGTTCAAACCTACCAGCAACTCCTCAGAAAGAAGTTTGGGCGATCTACTTCTACAGTGATACCACCTCAGAAACCCAAGGAAGGGTCGCTATGAGTCAGATCCGACTCAATGGCAGTGAGTTTGGTTTGGTTTGGAATAACCATAAAGAAATTCAAATCATAATTGAAAATAACTCTTCTAAAAAAGATCCAAGCCTGAGAAGATTTTGTAGCTGAGTTTTAGCAAACTTTCAGACCAAAAAAAAAAAAAAAA